AGGGACATTGCCACTTGAATGGAACAGTGGGCACCTTGAAGAACACACTGAACCCAAACAAAGCTCTCTGGGTGAGCATTTTTACAGCATCTGAGACATAAAAGGGCCAATAAATAAATAAATAAATAACTCTAGTTCTGGTATAAAATCTTAAAATATCCCTCCTGCCTCTGCTGTTGGAGTAGTTACTTCATGTCCAAAGCCCAGGCCAGCTTTTTTACAACTCAGTTCAGAGGCACATGGGGAAAATGTGGCTGCTCAAAGATTATGAAGAACAGCAAAATACTGTAAATCTGGACCCTGGACTTCTCTCCTCATTGCTAGGGTGCACAGACCAGGGGTGTGCTGCCCAAGATAGGGGTTTCACCCAGCATAGTTCCTCTCGGTGGAGGAGCAAAAAGGTCAGATGTGCCTCCTCAGTTCGGATGATGGGAGTTCCTGCAGCTGCTGGGCAGGATGCTAGGCTATCTCCTGGGGGTTCAGGGGGCAGTCATCCCCATCACTGGCACTGGCCATCACAGGGTGGCAGCCAGGCCTTTTTCTGCTCAGCAGCTGAGTGCAACCCATCTATTTTCACCCAAATCAGCCTAATCACATCCATATTTATAGCCTGCTGTTGTCGTACAGATGGCGACACCTCCTTAGCTGCTTCATATCCCTGGGGGTTGCCAATCCCATGCTGCTGTTGCTGTCATTTCTTCATGATCTCTGCATTCCTTGGGCTTCTGCTAGTTCTATTTCTTAGGCTTAAAGAGACCTTTGAACTCCTTAATATCAAAAGAAACAGTATCAATGGGAAGTCAGTTTGCTAAGCATGGTTCACATCACACCATGTTCTTAAGGGCTCCTGGAAGGGTTCAGGGCCATGAGCCCCAGATAGCAGGGGCATCACTTTGCCTGCACTGGGATTTGTTTGCAGGATGGGAATGAAGTATCAGCTGCAGGATTGGAGTTTGTAATCCACCTCCCTGCCCCAGCCAGGGGAGACTTGGGTCCCATCTGCTCAGAGCTGCGCCCAGAAACAATATTTTCTGATATTGGCTTACCATCCCGAGGGGGAAGCTTCCTATGAAATGTTCACAAGGACCATTTGAAACCTGAGAAGAGGATGTTTTTAGTAATGGGGAATGAGCTAAATAACTCAGAAGAGAAATATTCCAGCTTTAAGAATTAATTACCTCTTCCCAGTAACGCAGGTTGACTATTAAATAACCTTGTTCAATTTCCTAGACAGATACATTTTAATTGCAATATTGTGCACAGATCAAGAGAAAACTACAGTTCCCTGAACTGTGGCTTGGCAAAGATGCCTTTGTCCAAGCATTTATCTATCAAAACACAGAGGATGAGACATGGGGCTAAAAGAAGCCACCTATACACAGCAACTTACACCATGAGGCCCTCTGGGTGAGAATTTCCCCTATGAATGGTTATTTTCAGTCCAAAAGGGTAAACAACCAAGTGTATTTTTAAAACCCACAGCTGTAGCATCTATGGAGCTCTATAACCATTATGCAAACTTTACTACATAGTTTTTCAGTTGTAAATCCAGTATCATAAGTCAGGATGCTCAATTTCAATATGCTAATTTTTCTTTTGGTAGTTTGGGAACATAGTCTATAACTGGTTATCCGTCCATCCAAGCCTTGACCAGTTTTTCTTTGTTTCTGAAGCTGAAACCAAGCTCTCGCCCACAAGTGTCAGTGCTGCTCTTCTTGTCCACTGTCCTTCATATGAACAAACACAGAAATACAGCACAGACCTGTGACACTGGTCACTGCATGTGGCCCTGCCAGGGGCAGTGAGGGAACAGCCTGGGTGTGGGCAGTTTGAGCAGGGCAGAAAGCAAGGGGACATCTGTAAAGCCTTCTGAAGAAAACATCACTATCTCTGTCACACATGAAACAGATTGATAGCAGCAGCTATTTTAAAATTCTTTAAGTCATAAAGCATCATCAGATTATTTCAGTGCTAGGACATAGCTGGACAAAATAGCCCAACAGAAGGGAGACGCTGATGCAGTAGCTGCCATAATAGTGCATGATGCTGCACACATCCCTGCTCCTGAAAACCCACTCATCCATCTTGCCAGGGAAAATTGCTGTGATTCTGTTTCATAGCGGGGATGGTGGGAAGAAGGAAACAGGCACATATTCTCCTCTGTTCAAGGAAAAAGGGCCAGGCCATGGTCCCCCTTACTCTTCTGAAGCCACCCTGGCCTCTGCGTGAAAAGCATAGAGATTGGTGATGACAAGTGTTCAGTACAGGGGGCACAGGTGGCTGTGGTCCAAGAGCAACACGGTTGTGGAGCTCCTCTGCTAGCACTTGAGAGGTGGCTTTCCTCCCCTGTCCCAGTGTGCCCCTCTCTGTTTGCTCAAGCAGGACAGTAGAAAATGCCAGGGCAGAAGGAGCTGGGAGCCAGAGGGCTCCTGTCGTGCTTTGCCTGTCAGCTCAGGATCTCACAGGCCAAAAACTTCTGGAGGAAGATAAATCTGTGCCAGCTGAGGCAAATTCTGACAAACAGCATAAATGCCTAATTTATGTGTCTGCACCTGAAAGCATTACCCAAAATGCCCCAGCTCAGCTGATGGCTTAGACTGGAGGCAGGTCAGAGCAGTGCTCCCACCGTGTCCTGGGCATGCTTTAGCCAGCTAGATTCCCCATTGTATCCCTGATGGACCTCATCCTGCTCCCAGAACCTGGCCCACAATGCAGGGAAGGGACAGGAGGGTTTGCACCTCCACCTAAACATAGGTGCCTGAGTAACAAGGGACATCTGTTTATGTTCTCCCAATAGGATAGAGATGAGGAAAATCACTGTATTTACCCTCCTGCCCATCTCTCCCCCTCACGTGCCCATCAGCCTCCTGCCCAAACTTCCCCCTGCTGCCACTGTACAGTCAGCACAGCTGCTGGTGGCTTTTAAAGGCTTACAAGGAGGCAGCAGGAGGAACCAGAGGTTGGTGCCTATTGTTTTTTCTCAATTGCCTTTGATGACCATGGTGAGATGCAGAGAAATCCAGTAGATGTTGCCTGCCCTTTGAGAGTACTTTGTTCCTGTGCGCGAGCTCAATATGTTTAGCAACTTGCTCTGTGAAAATCTGTACCGGGTGCAACAGAAGGAAATCAAGCTTCATCATTTCCAGAGACAAAAGCTACAGTTAAAAAATTTACCAAAACCATACCAGGATGGTAATTTGTCTTGGAAACCATTTGTTATCCCAGACTCCAGGGCATTGAAATGCTGTGTAAATATCCCACTCATGATTTTTCAAAATCCCCTTCAACTCTCCCTGTGAATGTGTGGCCTGTGTGGTGAGTTCAGATCTGCCAGGAATGTGTTCATTCTCATCAACTCCATCCCCCTTCTCCCCTTGAGCTCTCAGCCCAGAGTCCAGGCCTAACAGAGCAATTCTCACAGTAAAGAAATATTTAAAATGTGTTTTAAACAGTACTTCTCTTTGTCCAGGCTGTCACTGTGCTTTTGCACTTCCATTCATTCAAGAGTTTTGGGCCCAGCTTGCTGTCCTGGTTTCAGTCTAGTGCTGTGGGTCAGGAGCTGCCTCCTTTCAGTCATCTTTCTCCTGATGGGGCAGCATAGGCCCTTCAGTGAGGAGCAATATAGGCAACATGCCAGGATGGGAATAGTACTGTTGGCATCCCACCCCCCTACCCAGCACTAAAATGGATCCCTGATGTTTCCTTGCAGAGCATCATCTTGGTCAGTCACCCTTCCCTCAGCTACCACCATCATGAAGACCTTCATCTGCAGTAGATGTGTCCCAAAAAGCTTCAAGTCCCAGGCATTAGAAACAACAGACACTGACCACTAACTACAAGAGTTACCTTGTTCCTAACAGTTACCTGCTGTTCCTAACATAAGCCAAAAGAAAAGGGTCTTTGTACTTAACCTATGAAAATAAAATAATGTTTAAAAAAATCTTACTAGAGTTGTGTGTGAGCAGGGATGAGTTTCCTCCTGTACAGATTGTTCTACTTCCACACTTTCTACTCAGCCTGGAGCAGAGCTTTATTTTTAACCACACAAACTTCAGAGGCATATTTGAAGTGCAAAACCCACGTTCCATGCTTAGACATCCATCAAACAGTTAATAAAACCCATTTTAACATGGTGTAGAACTTACGTGAAATAAGAGTGAGAAGTCTAACCTGTTTCCAATGGCTACAAAATTGCCCTGGGGAAGATAAAAGATGTGATTTCTTTTAAGTGTAGCTATTTTCTGTTAAGGGAACCTACGCATAAGTTCTTCTGATCACACATCTCCAGAGAAAGGAACAACCATCCCACATACTCCTCTACGTGGATTGCTCAGCACTTTCTCCCATGGTAATCTGTAGGAGAAACTCAACCCTCCTGCTTCATGCATTCAGCTTAAAAGATGAATTTTGCAGGATAGATCCCTAAAGCACGTCAGAAGTTGGAAATAATTCCTACTAGCTTATCATCATTCAGGTGATTAACAGGCACAAGCATAACAGCAGTTGTTGAGGGAGGACAGCAATCCTGTTATTATCAGAATGCTTACAGGCAGCTTTATATTTTCATGTTTAATAAAGCTTTCCCCCCTCCCCTCCATATAAAGCTTTCCATCAAAGGCTTTCCAAGCATTTTATAAAGGCAGGTTAGTGTTAGATTATCAATATTTCCCTTTTACAGAGAGCAAATTGAGGCCCAAAAAAGTCATTTGAGCAGAATAAAACAACAAATCTCAACCCAAAATAGAAACAAAATCAAAACCTCCTGGCAAAAATCCCCTTCTCCAACTCTCTCTCTATTTAGTTGCTATGCACCTTTTTGCTTTTTTTTTTTTTTTGGTTAAAAATAACCCAACCAGACAAACAAAAGAGAATGGGGAGGAAATCATAAGTTTCAACATACTTACTTCCATACTGCTGGCATTAGTATAAAAATAAAGGGTTTTATTTTTTATTTTACAAAAATAAAGTCTACTGAGTCACGCAGGATCTCACTGGGGGGTTTATTTGACTTTGGAAGACAAAGCCTGCTTGAAACGTCTCTTGAGATCTTGCATGTTGGGAGATTTGGGCCGAGGGATGATGGATGATCGCCTCTTGTCTGTGCTGCTGGCATGCTGTAGTTTGCTGACCTCCTTGCAAAGGTACTGGAAAACATCACAGACCCCCTGGGAGTCATCGCTTGTGGAGATTTCCAAGAACAGGCTCCCTAGTTCGTTTGCCAGCTGTAGTCCCTCTTTTGCCTGCACTTGCCTGGCATGGAGGAGGTCTGCTTTGTTCCCTACAATGATGATGGGAGTCCTGGCATCTGGGTGGATCTTGCGTATGTGCTGGTACAGAGGTTGGACTGACTGGTAGCTGCTATAGTCTGTGATGGAGTACACCAGGAGGAAGCCCTCTGCCCATTTCACACACCTGGACAAGGAGTCCAGCACCTGTGCACAGTCTTCCTGCACCTGTAGTAGGACAGAGAGCATGAATTTGACATTAGGTCATTAAAGCATAGAGTCTGTATCATAGACAGCATCGTTATATAGGTCCAAAGGGAAGCCTGAGCTCTCTCTTAGGAGACTGAAGTCTGGCTTTGTGGGAAGCTGGGGCTCAAAAGCTGAGCCTTCAGATGGCAGAGAAGAACAGATGGATCCAAACCATCTCCATACCTGGATGCACCCCGGCGTGTCTTGGATCTGCACGGCAACGTGGTCGCCCTCCAGATGGACCAGCCGGGAGTAGAGGTTGCCTGGGGAGCAGAGACCCGTCAGGACAAGCCCCAGCCGCGGGGGTGCCCGCCGCGGGGTCCCCGCCGCCTCACCTGTGTTGGGCTCGTAGTCCCCGATGAACCGCTTGGTCAGGAACCGCACGATCATGGCTGAAACACACAGCGGCCACGTTAGGCGGGACGGACGGGCAGGAGAAGGGGGGCAGGACAGACGGAGGAAGGGGCGGGCGGGCAGCCCCGCTGCTCCCCGCACTCACCGCTCTTGCCGACGCCGCGGGCGCCC